TCATAATAGATAAAAAGATTTCTATATAATCAATTATTTACTTCAATGTAAAGTCTTTTGCAACAAGCTTTGTTTTGTACTGTGGTTGATCACCATCAATTATTAGTGACTTCTTCTTGTACAATTATTTACACCTAATAATTCACTTCCCTATAAGAAAATCTACCAATTTTCATGTATGATTATCGTCTAAAGATGTTCAATCTTCAAATATTGTCTTCAACCACTTCTCTTTTTTGAGATAATTAAGTACCTCATAAAACATTATAGGCTCATCATCTTCTATAAATAATGTAAAGGCAACATAATAATCAAGACAAGTAAGAGGCCTTATTTTGTGCCTACCCTGTCTAACAATAATACAATCAAGAACATATAATGATTGTATAACTCATTCTTTACTCATAACAAAACTAAGAGAATTTTACACAATCTCTACCTCTAATTTTGCTCTATCTTCAACATAAGTATCATTAGATTCCTAAATTATATACTTTGTAGAGAAAAATTTCAACATGTGATTTTTATTAAATTTTACATCCCTATTGAAAATAATTTTCTTCACCTCAATCTTAAAGTTGATATTTCTTCACACTAGTGAAAATAATTATAGTTTAAGAAGATACATTTCTTTGATTTTAGGTCCAACTTCGATCTCTCATCATTAAGTATAAGAATATTTTCTTGACATTCAAATATATGTAAATTTGAATAGTCAACAGAATTTTCAGTCCATATCTCTTTAACAAAGTTTTCGTCAAACATAGAATTTGGTGATTTATTTACCGAATAAGCCGCCATACTCACATCTTCCACTCAAAACTCTTTGGATAAGTCAGCATTTGATTGTAACCATTGTGGTCTCTTAATAATCATATGGTTCATCCATTCAATAATACTATTATGATACACAATTTTCTTCGCTATATAATGACATTGAATATAATACTCATCACGAAATTGATCAAATTCAGAAATTTTAAATTCTATATTATTGTCAATCCACAAGACTTTAATTTTTCTCTTTGTCTCGTTCTCCACCTTCACACACCAAGTCTTGAGTTTTGTAAATACTTCTTATTTGTGTTTCAAGAAAAATATCTAGACTTTTTAAAACAAATTTAATAAAGGTAAGAAAATAATAAGTACCACTCATTGAGATCACATCAATCATACCATATAGATCTAAATGAATATAATCAAACACACCACTTGTATCATACTTTGCTACCTTAAATATCATCATAGACTATTTTTTCATGAAATAGTATTTGTAAAAATTCAATTTGTAAATTTTTACACTAGGTAACAATCCTTGTACATGTAGCTTCTACATAATTGTCTCACTCATATGGCCCAATCATAAGTGCTATAAAAGAGTATCATCAACTATGGAATCATCCGGTGTCATAACATAAGCTTCACTTATAATATTACTTTCCTCAAGTTTATAAATATTCACTCATTGATGTCTTTTCTTCATCTTAAAGTCACATTCATTTGATAATCTTTATGATTTTATTCTCAACTTTGAAGTAACATTCATTCTCTTCTAATACTCTAAGTGAAATCACATTCTAATTCAAAATTAAAACATGACAAATATTTTCAAGTTCTTGGTCCATCTTGTCAAACATTTGAACTTTCACCAAATTAATGACAACACTTCATAAGTCACATTGTTTGTCATGAAAAATAACTCCTATTATACTCTTATATGAGTCAAACTAATTAATATTAAGATATATGATAAGAGCAACTAATATCAAGAATCTATGTGTTTGATAACTTCTCAACTATAATAAGGTTAGAATAAACTTTTTCATATTCTCTATCTTAAAACTTCACAACATTTACCGAACTAGATTTACCTTTTGTTGTCTTATTACTTTGATTCTTCGAATAATCTCTTTGCAAGTGTCACTTCTATGACACTTGTGACAAGTTTGATTTTTCAATTAATTTATCTATGACTTAGACTAACTTTTCTTGTCTCCTAACGATTTCTTCTTCTTTTATCTTTCATGTTCTCTTTCACCCTTCACATATAAATCTTCACTACAAGCTTCATTAATATTCTTTTTCTGATGGTAATACTCTATTAATAAATCAATAATATCTTCAAGAATAAGTGTTATACCACCATACAAAAAACTCAATGCCCCCCCCCTCCCCGACACTACTGATTATGTAGGTGGGCTCACTAGCTGTCACGATGGAGTTGGAAACTAGCAGAGTGGACAATCTTGGAGACCACAGGTAGTAGACGATTATGACGCTGAAAGGCATTGGCAGCCCCTAGCTCACAGCTTTCAGCACCCCATCGACCATCAAGAGTTCCATTGTGTGGCATTGTTAGAGGAACTGCACCACCGATAAGAGGGAGGGAGGAAGGGGATGGGAGATGAGGAAAGCTTATTTACATTTTTGCGGCGGGCAACATTGCTGCCAATGGCAGCGGCAGACTTGGCAGAGAGGAATTTGCAGGTCATGCATCCTAGCAAGCAAAATTTTGCCTTTATCAATATATTATGCTTTACTTAAAAGACAACAATGCATGACCCTCAAAAGTTTGCCTTTATCAGGCAACACGTGGAACCAATATAGGTGTGCCTTAGACTCTTTCTTGCCCAAGTATTTCTAAAGTTTAGTTCAACTTTTCCTTGATAACACAAAAAAAAGAAAGTTTTCCAAAGCTTATACAATGGGAAAATAATGATTCATATTAATTTCAGTAGTCACTCTCAATGTCTAATACCTAGTTCATGGTTCTTATAATATGACTTTTTGATATTTTGGTATAGCGGATCTTTTTAGTGCAATGTTAAGTCCACATGAGACAATGTGACTTAATGAATACAAGAGAAAGGACAATTTTTCGCCTATTTATGACACTTCTACTAGTTTTACTAAAAGTCGATGCTATTATGTTTATACGACATCACATATTTAAGACCACTTTTTCCAACATCAAAATAAGATTGGTAGGAAAAACCAACAAAATGTTTATGAGATATGCATTTCTCTAAATGATTAGAGCCTAATGTTTAGTTTGAGAATGTTCTCAACTAGAAATGTCAAGATCACTCATCTTAGACTAGAGACTCTAACATAATCTGCCCATGGCTACATTCAAATAAAAAGGTATGCATACTTTCAACATACATAACATGCACTATTTAGAATAGTGCTTAGGTTTGAAATTTGTTTTTTTTTGTTATTGTTATTCAGAAATAACCTTGTAATATGTTGGTTTTTTACTCTAATTCATAGAGGATATGAGTTCATTCATTATACATTCTTCCAAACATCTATAGATATGATGGACTAAAGAATTGTACTCATTTCATTGAGCTTCTAAAATGTTCATGATATCTACTAAAATCCTACTACAAACTATGTAACTTTCCCATTGTTGGGAAATGTGACCAGATTTAGAGCTTAATGGGCTTGATATTGGTCTAATACAATAGGAGGAAGGGAGTATGAGGACAGAATGTCCACCAGATAATAAATGATATGAGAGAGGTTTAATGTGCTGTAATAAGGTAATACGAGTTTAATATTGTCTAAAGAGGATAAGAGCACCTCACAACCACTAACCTCAAGGAGAAGGATTAATATTCAATGACAGATGAGAAACAAGGTATAGATGTATATGGAGTTAATGAAGCATTGATACTAGCAACTGGCTGGGAGATGAGGGGAAGCCATAATCCTATTTTCAGCTGCCAAAAAGGAAAGGTTTCTCGTGACCATAATTTGTCTCTCTTTTTCTGTCTCCCTGAGCCCTCCTTTAATATCTATATTACAAAGGGTGCTAGACTAGTTATGTACCTGAAACCATTCCTAAACAATGGCTTAAAGGTGAGATGAGGGACCTCCCCTAAAAGTAAGAGTTGAGCAAGTCACCCTTACAAATCTCTACCTTGACTAGGGCAGCATGAACTTCTTCAAAACTTCATACTAAAAAATTACATAAGCTTCTTGTAACTATAATAGAAAATAGAAAGTTGCATGCCTTCCCCAAAATAGGAGATTTATTTCATGTGCTGTGAACTTCAATTAGGTTAGAATAATATTCAAACTTTAAAAATAGAAGAGGCTTTATTAACATGTCAATTGAATTGTCTTCAGCATCAATCTTTTGCAGACTAATTTCTCCTATCTACAGATGAAATGATACTTGACATTAATATGCTTTGTCCTTCAAAGATACATCTGATCTTTGATTAAGTGAATAGCTCTTTGACTCTCACAATGGACATTGATGAAATCTTGATGTGAATTTGTATTTATAGTCACTTCAGGAAACCCCATGAATTATTATTTTTTGTGTCAGATAATATTCTTGACCTCCATAAAAATAAAAGTGCTCGACTTTAGGTTTTATGTCATGCTTAGTATCCCAATAGAAAACCAATAAGTCAAATCGGTAAGCTGGTCTAATAATATCAAATAATTCCTTTTTTATATTAGATTTCTTTCTAAAGGCCACCATTGTATATAGGAAAATAGGAGGTTCAAGTAGTTGTCACTTTTCGGGGGTTATTGCTTTCTACTGTGCTGATGATCAAGATTTCTTAGGATACGCCCTTCAATTCATTATAGATGGGTCAAACAATTGAGAAGGTAATAAAATAGGAGTGCCAAAGCCGATGGCTGGATGGGATGAAAAGTCACCATTGGGACGGGGGCAGCAGAGGGATGTAGAGAGGACGGGATGGAGGAGGTGAGGTATCTCGATAAGGGTAAATACCCTTATTTACCGACTAAAAGCCTCAGTGGACAAACTTGAAAAGCCTTTTCGACCACATAAGGGAGATTGTCACACATTCCATACATGGTAGTAATAAAGGACTTGGTGTTCAGAGGAAAGTGTGTCACCATCATTTAGGGGAAAGTAAAACACAATTACAGAGTTCAAAGGCTATAGATAACGTGTTTGATGATAAGGTTTGATATGATAATAATATAGCTGTTATCTTTCATCACTTATTTTAGTATTCTTCCCAAGCTTGATCTATAACAGGAACTCCATAGATGTTTTCCAGTTCCTGGTTCTCAATCTGGAGGAGGAGCAATGCCCTCATTGTCATGTCGTAATCTTTGTCCTTAAGACAGGCCTTCAAGTTTTGAATCTTCTTAGCTGAGCTTAGCACCTGCATGACAAAGGAAAATGATATGTCACGGGTCAATTAATAATGTATTTATAATATATAGGATAGATATAGTATAATAATGTAGATAGAGATGGACGGGGTAAAAAAGAGCGATAGGCTAATATTTAAGTGTTTGTGTGTATCTAAATATATCGAGATAGAGATAATATAGAGACAAATAATGGAGATGATATAGATGGAGAAAAGATATGGTTTATGGATGGATAGGCATAAACGTAAGCGCACATAGGTTTTATATATCTCTAGTTATATATTGGCATAGTGAAGGCTAGGGGGGGAGGGAGAGAGAGAGAGAGAGAGAGAGAGAGAAAGAGAGAGAGATGGATGCTGATATAATATACTGGCAGATAAGGACAAGTTGATAGTTAATATATAGGTAATAGTTATAGAGAGGCATGGGTTGTCAAATAGATAGATTGATTCCTTGATTGATAGATAGATAAATGGATTAATAGATTAATATATAAATTGATCTATGGATAGATAGATAGATAAATAGATTAGTAGATAGATAGATTGATAGACAAATAGATTAATAGGTAGATAAGTTGATAGATAGATCGATAAATAGATTAATAGATTGATTGATTGACAGATAGATAAACATATAGATATTGCGATATAGATAGATCTATAGATAGAAATCAACGAGAAAGAGTAAGGATACATCTAGGTAAATTGATTTATGAGAATGACCTAGGATGGATACTAACTCTGCGATGTGGCCATCGATTCAAGTGAAACTTCCTGCAAACCTTTTTCAGAGCTGTGGTACAGATTTGGAGCTTCTGAGCCGCTTCAATGATCGGCAAATGGAAGTATTGGGCTATATCCCTAAAAGTCAGCAATCCGGTTCTTTGCCTCTGGTTCATAATGAGCAGGAAATAATATTGGAGGTGTCTCAAGGAAATCTTCTATTCTCAATATTGGAAACCTTAAAATAGTTGTCCATAAGAATAGAATATTGGAATCAATGATTGAATTTTGATATAGTTCTGAATAATACGATTAGTAAACCTAAGAAGAAACTACGATTCTGAAACACTTCATCACGGATAGGAAACATGACTAATCCATTTGGCTTTTATGCTCTCAATGGAACAGCACACGGAAATGTGAACCATATGATTTAATGCCATAAAAATAATAGTAATAATTGCAGACTATTAATGTAAACCATAGCATGGAATTCCAAACCATCATTGAACACGAAAGGAAGTATGTTAGCGAACTCGAAACTTCAAAAACTTGGAAAAACTAAGACGTGGTTATATGTAATAATACACAGTCAATAGAATGTTGTCAAAGAAGTACAATAAATCCCATAATAAGTAATGGGATTATGTTTTAAAGCAATGTCTACAACTAGCCTATATGTAACTATCCCATAACTCATTTTAAGTCTACCTGATTTGATTTAATGTATTTTCTAAAAAATGCCTATGAACCAGAAAAAATACCTAAAAGCAAGATACACATGTTTATAATAATTTCAAATCAGGTAGACTTAAAAGCAAGTCTACCAATGCAGAATACATTGAGAATCGAAATTTTGTCCAAATATGAAATATGATATCAGAAAAAATAGTTTGGATAGCATAACACTGTCCTGATTGATAGTCCAAAGGTTTCCCTTCGGATTACTTTCTTTAGATGCATAAAAGAATGGGGCTCACCTCAATTTCTTCAATGAAAATTTCTTAGCAAAACGCTCCCATATGTCTCATCTGTCTCGTTTCCATCTTATTAACATGTAGGCCTTTTAACAATCATATCCATTACGTTTCGAGGGCTTCCCATTTTTTTATTAATTTGTTGCCACCAAACTCTCTTTTTCTCATGTCCGAAGAGAAATGTTGGGCTTAATTTTTTGGAGATACATATACCAATAACTTATTTACCTTAGCTTGTCTAATAGGCATTGTTTTCTAATATGGAATAATAGTATAGCTGTTCTCTTTCATATCAACTTCATAAGTGTATTACGTTGTAAATGAAATCATACAATTCACATGCACTCAATCTGAATCAATGTATATTGCTTATACAGTAGAAAAAAAACTCATACGCCTTGCAGTCAACATATGTCAACTTTTCTCAATCGTTTTTAAGATTGAAAATTATACTAGTAAAATCTATTTTAACTTTCCATCAGAAAACTAAATATGTATATTTTTTTCTATATAAAATTTGTATAAATCCATTTTCTAACAAGAAACAAAATATGTACAATTTTTCTTGTAGGTAAAATATGTCTCTATATCCATATCCTTTTTCCAACAAAGAACATTTATATGACTTTAACGAGCAAGGCAAACCACTGACCTGACCAGCGATACTAGTCTTTCGGATCTGAAGTCTACTCTCCTTTATTGCTATTGGTTTTTTATGACCTGGCGCCAATATAAACAATGTGGGACATGTTAGTGAATAAAATCATAACATCACATTAATGCGATATGAATAAATTTATTTTTTTTAAAATATCAAGAAATCTCTAGAACCCCATACGTCATAGACGCCCCATTTTCCGATGAGATGGGGATAATAAGTCCAGGCCATTGATTCATCGAGTTTTCGAGGATTCTGGGTGAGTTCTTTGGGCACACCTTCTGCCGCGTGAGAAGTTTCTACGAGATGGCCAACCTGAACAGAGATGGATGGGCTTGCTTGAAGTTTCATAGTACCACTTGGAAGGACATAATCATCTGGATACTCCATCTTAACGGAGAGGACTTCATAGAACAATTGATACTTGTCATGGACAAGTGTCATACCATCTTCAAAACAGCAATTGCTGTAGTTCATTAGAAATTCCTTCACCGATTCAGCATCCAGCAGTCTTAAACTGATATGGAATAAGAGAAATAAGCCACTCCTTTAATTTTTTATAATTACATAAGCATAAATTTTAAAAGAAATAAAATCGTCCAACTCAATAGGAAATAGTAACCAGCACAGCAGCTCAAGCCATGAGGTAGTATCAGATACCATAACAAAAAACTCAAAATGATTGATAATGAGTAAAGCATCATACATTATTTAACTAGATCATAAACTCAAGCCCTCAATTTTTCCTCTTTCAAGAAAGCATCTTTTTTCTCTCAAAAGTTTTGGTGTCACACTATTTTAGAAATATCTGAAATATATAAAAAGATTACAGGCACAAACAGAAGCATTCTACTAGTTTAAGAAGATAATTATGGTCATTACTTTACTCCATTAAATATTAACTATGGTGTATTTAACTTTGGTCTTATATACACTTGTGGATTCCATTCATCAAGTTAATCAAAACATCTAAAAAATACAATAAACATTCCATAAAATAATTTATATTAAATCACCATGGTCAATATTTAAGACATATAAAGATCTTCATCTCATAGTTTAGTATGATAGGTGAGGAATGTAACAATTGTTCTTTTACCATCTAGGATTATCTGAATATAATTTCTCATACATGGAACCAAGGGCTGGTGACTTCTAGTACCTTAATCCAGAACCTGAGAAAATGATACTTAAAAAATGATAGATAGGTAGATGAATGACTCAAATGAGGCATGAAGGATTAACTAGTCAAACTTTGAGATAGGAGTATTGTGACATGACGTTATATTTCAAGATTTTCATACAGCATCATTGTTAGTCAGATAGATGCATGACTTGGAGTTGGATTATTGAATTAAAAAGGAAACTACAATAAGTAAATTTTAAGTTACTTGTTTTGCTATGAATGTTGGATTATGAGAATGCTATATGTATTGTACAACAAAGAGAGAAATAGTAGTTGTATCTAATAACTTAGGATACGAATTTTGATAAAATGTTGAACATAATGAAGACGATCAATCATTAAAAAGCATTTGACTATGATATGGATGAGATCAATAATCTTGTTACTAGTTATTATTAGACATCAATGAAAATAATTAACCCTAAAGTGTGATTTAGGGTTAGATAATTGAAGAAGATATGCGATGCCCACGAATCTAACTATGTTATGCAAATGTAACCAACAATGAGTAGAATAGAATGTACAAACAAAGTAAGCACAAGCTCTCTCAAGTACAAAAAAGAGTGAAATGGAGGTGGTCTCTCAACCTCAATCTCTCTCAAGTCAATACTATTTTAGGATATTTTCACACAAACCCTAAACTAGTAATCATATCTCAACATGATATTAGATCAAATCTTTACGATTTCACTAAAATATATATTTTTCTATCTGTATCATTGTTAAGTATGCAAATACCACATTTCACACAACATTCTTTAGTATATCTATATCATTTTTCTATGTCTATATCAAATCTTATGTGGTGGTTGTCGACTAAACTAAGATTTTTTCATGGTAAAGAATAAGATATTCCAACTCCTTACTGATTGGACACAATATATCCATGATGCAACTAGTTGCACATTTAAGCATGAGATGAATCTACAAGATCTTAATTAATCACGAACAACAAATGTCAATACCTAAATCTAACTCTCACCTTTCAAAGACGAATAATCTTAGTTTCATATTTACTAAAAAATCACTTGATTTAATACTTACTCAGCAATGTAATTCTCCTCAACAATCTGGTCCGTTATGTGATGAACTATGAGTATTGCATGATGAACACCACTGAATAATCCGTGGAGGGAAAGCTTCATACTGGTGCACTCTACCATCACAAAGAAACCATTAGAACTCTTAGATCTTACAATACTTGTTAAAAAAGATATGAGGAGGATAGAAAATTGGAGAAGTTATTTGAAGGCTTGAGCTGAGTTGACTGTTAGTAAGAGAGAGAGAGAGACAGATATTCTATTATGTGTTTTTAGACAAGGGACAAAAGTGATGGGAAAAGTTAGAATATATGCAACCGAGAAAAATAGTTGGTGGGAGGGAACAAGTGAGGGAGAGAGATTCCACTATGTGTTTTTAAACAAGAAAGGAAAGCAACAAAAAAGGCCAAAACACATGTGATCAAAAAAAATAATTGGTGGGAGTGAGAGAGAGAGAGAGAGAGATCATTAGTTATTCACTAGGCAACAAGAGAAGATATAGGCAAATGAAGGAAAATCTTTGAAGTGGAGAGCAAGTGAGAGAAGAAAAGAGAGAGGGAAAGAGTGAAATTTGGTAGCTAGTTTAAACAAGAAATAGAAAGAAGGAACAAGACAAAATCATCAAATTTGTCATAGACAAGTGAACCTGCTGAGGGGTTATGGAGACATGTCAGTCGTATGTAATAGGGTAAACAAGAATGCAGAACTGAAATCAATCCAAAGAAAACCAATGAAGTAGATTAATCAGCAGTACAGCATATATAGAGAGCAAAGGATCTTTGTTAACATGTTAAAAAATAATCAAAACTACTTTATGCAAAATTCTCTAAATCTCATATTTGAGTTTATCTATCAAGAGAGAGAAAAGGATCCTTGACACTAAGGTTAAGCGGCAGTAGAAAACTATAGGGCAACCTCCCTTGAAACCCTTACTAAGTCATTTGAAAAGGAAAAATAGAGAGTACTTGATCATCAATAACATGCTAAAACAACAACGAAAACCCATAAGGAAACTAAACAAAACCCTTGAATGTTGGAGTGTAGAAAGCCAGATGCTAAGAACAAATATAATGAATTCAATTTACGTGGCATGGTTAAACAAGAACAGAAACATTAACCAATCCAACGAAAAGCCTTGAATGTTAGACTAAAATCAGCCAGCCAATAGGGAGAAAGAGAAATGGATCATCGACAACACAAGAAAAATTATAAGCTAACCACATAAAACCTTTGAACTCTTAATGGCAATCACTTATCAGCAGAGCAGAAGTAGAGAGAGATCGATTTTGGATACTATGGTCAAACAAAAAGCAGAAAAGTATGGATCATCCAGATAAAACTCCTAAAAGCAAGACTTCGGTCAACTAGAAACGAGAGAGAGAGGGAGAGAGAGTAAAGGATCTTTGATAACTAGTTTAAAGTAACCAAAACAATGATGAAACAAGGAGAAACCCTAGAAGTGTTCAGAAAACCCTACAAAACGATAAGATATTTCACAGTTAAGACGGAAAAACCTATAAAACCGCGTACTATGACATGAAGAAATCATTAAAAATTCCATGGATCAACAGATCGAAGCGTTTAACAAAGATATAACGGTAGTCAAAGTGTGATTTGTATAGATATTCATCCTAGTGGCATTCCTGTGAACAGTGGAATTAAGTTTCTTCCTTGGATTACCGCCTGCATGAATGACGTCTCTAAGAATATGGCAACGGCTACAGTGGGCCCCGAAGAATGGCATCCAGGTTACAGTTACGGGCACTGCGGGGCCACCATTGCGTCCGCCGGCGTCGTTGTCGCCTTTGAGAAAAGGTTCCGGCGGCGGTGGCAGTCCATCCGTAGAAAGCAAGGAGGAGAGAAGTTCACAAAGCTCTCTTCCCTTTGGGGAATCTAAGAGACGAAACACCTCGTCAATCTCCTCCATCCTCGGCGAGTTGCAGGTGCGAAAGTAAGGTTCCTCCTTTTGCATGGAGGAAGGGATGTAGGGAGGAGGGGAGAGGTCGGTGAGGAGTTTCTGTGGGTTACTCGCAAGACTCCACTTCAGGGGGCGCCCAGATTTTATTTAGGCGCGAATGGCAACTCTTTTTCCTGGGTGCATCCTCCAAGGCAATAAATTAGAGAGGGAAAGATATGAGAGAGAGAGGGAGGGAGATTTGAAAGGAGGCGATTTGTCTGCCGTTGGATAGCAGAAATCTGTGGATCTTACAAAAACGGTTGTAGTTAACCGTTCGTATCGAAGCCATTTTAATTTGTTTTCCCGCGGGATTCTCATTCGTGCTTTTACAATTTACTCGTGCAAATCACTAAATTTTTCCCATTTTCAAAGATATCAGTATTCAGGGATGTTCTACCTTGAATTGGTCTCCATTTGGCTTCAAAATCCGACATGTTCGCAACGTGCAAGTGAGATTTGGAAATATGTAAAATCTGTACACCCAGTAGTATCATCATAATTTGTTTTCTCGCGGATTAGGAAGAAAATCCTGAGTGATGATACCATATGCTTCAAATTTTAACTTTTTTATTAAAACTCCTTGGAAATGGGTCAGATTAGGAATATCAAAGATAATTATTTAGGCGAAAAACGAGCCGAGCCGTGGAGACACTGCCAAGGACTATTATGAGCGTGACCCGTCTGGGCCTGACAGGCCTGCGTCCTTCTCACACTTTAGTGTGACAGTTGGCCATACACCCGCCCGCAGAGAGAGGGCGAGAGAAAGGGACAGAGGGCGGAAGAGGGTGCGAGAGAGGAAGAGAACGAGGGACGGAGAGAGATTGTCGGGGGGAGAGAGGGAGGGCGGGAGGGCGGAAGAGAGAGAATGCGAGAGAGGAAGAGAGCGCGAGAGACGGAGAGAGAAAGGGAGGGAGGGAGGGAGGGCGGAAAAGAGAGTGCGAGAGACGGAGAGAGGGAGGGAGGGAGAGACAGACAGACAGAGAGGGGGGGAGAGAGAGAGTGCGAGAGACGGAGAGAGGGAAAGAGAGAAGTGGGGGGAGAGAGAGAGATGTAGAGAGGGCGAGAGAGACAGAGAGAGGGAGAGAGTCGGCTTCCTGACATCCGTGACGAGCCCCTTGGGGTAAGCTGAGACAATTGGACTCAACGCTTCCTCGCAAGATTAAAGTTTCGGAGAAGAGCAAGTTAAGAACTAATTCATGGATAGTTAAGTGACTCATCACAGACCTGAGAGAGATAGAAGTCTGTCAAAGCCTTCATAGATAAAAGGATCAAGGATATTGTTGGTTTTGGCTGTGACATGGTGGGTAGCACCATTATCTGGGTACCATGAAGTAGATCGTGTAGGCTCGTGTGGGCTCGTGTTGCTCAGGGTATGCTGCTGAATAAGCTTGTGGTGTAAAAGGTCAACATAAGTTCTGTAAGAGTCATTTGATACAAGACTTCATCACTTACCAAAAGAATTCATGATGGATCTGTTTATAAGTATGTAAGAAACATGAATATATGCCCAAGGTGCTGTTGTGGTACTTGTGCAGGATAACGGGAATGACAAAGGATCCCACCAAAATAAATAACCGATCTGGTTCCCATGTATTGAGTACTAATGTCATCCACAATAGTGGTTTTGAAGGTCAAGCATAATTTGTCTACCTTGTGAATGGCCATGAAGATCCACTTAAAGTTGTTCTAGAGAGAGGATTTGTGAAAACGAGGAAGCAATGAGGGAACATAAGTGCAGCACCTAGGATAGGGCACCTGCAGTCTTGTTCTTGGTCCCTGACTTGAATTTGATACAAATTGATAGCCCAATAATTTAATCAACTAGCACTAATAATCAAGAGCCTCTTGACACTATTCGAGCAAAAATTTTAAACTCTCTTGATCTACATAAATGATAAACAATCACCTTGACGTGACTTAGTCGTTGTATAATAAATCACACAAATTTTAAATTTTTATAAAACTAGAAAATACTAATTTTCATATATTTAGAAGTATTTCTAAATAAATATATCAATTATAATTCAATAAAAGTTTTAAAAATAGTGATAATTTTTCAAGTTAATTATAAGGATGTAATATAATATCATGTAAGTTTTCAGAATTTTTTTCAAAGAATATGATTTTTCATAAATTTTAGATAAGAAATATAAATAAATATATTTAAAATTCACAAAAAGGGAAATAAGGGTGCAGATGTCAGAATGACGTCAACACCTAATGAACACAAATCAGGTTGAAATAAAGTTTTGTTTAGTGATTCTTATGTAAGTAATTATAAATGATTTAATTGATCAAATTAAGATTTGTAAAAGCTAAAAGAATTATAATTTAATGAAGAATAATTTAGTAAATTTAAATCACATAAATTATCACTAAATGAGGTAAAAATTAAGTTAAAAGTAGGAAAATAGAGTTCCGACATCACGGCGGTAATGTGTTAGTGATACACTAAAATCTTGAGCGTTCAAGAAAATTGTAGTGCATTGTCTATAGCCTTGAAGGCTCTTCTTAGATAAGGACAATGTGAGGAATTTCTAGATCTTCTTATGAAGTTTAAAAATCAATGAAATGAGTCGTCAAATTGTCTCTAGTAGTTGTCACTCGACGGAGTAGAAAATTAGTGACTTTGTGGCTCTTTGACAACTGTCACCTAATGAAGAGGAACTAAATGGAGCTAAGGTGCGTGTTAGAAAGCTTCATCCTTAAGTCCACACAACAAGATGAGGCTCTTCACCGCATCTGATATGTTCATAAGAGGTGATGCTCATCTCTTAACGGATCGTCTTCTTCTTGACAACACCTTGTTCGTCAATCAATCAGAGATGCTTTAATCAATATATTTGTAATCTTTTTATCACAAATCATTAGTAATTTTAGTAAGAATGCTTTATGAATTGCATCGACGAGATTTTTGACGATGATCAAATGATTCTAGCGACTTAATCCTTCACTAATGATCTAGAAAAAAAGTTACCATTTAATCAGATAAAAATATGAGTTTTAACTCTAATAGGATTCAATTCTACATTAATCATCTGTCTATGTGAGAGAGATTGAAATAAGTACTATAATACCCTTATATAATGACATCATCATAGTATATCTTCATTATAATTAAGGGGTATTTTAGGTATTAAAATCTTCTAAATTATTCTAGGAGGAGGTGTGACATGAGTTTAGTCCCACATTGGTTGTACACCAAAGTTTTGGATGAATATATAGTAATATCATATTTTTAAGTAATGAGTCTCTTTCTTTCACATATACGACCACTTCTTGCCCCACAACTAACTAGCTAATGATGACGTGGAAAGGGAGTAGCACACGCGTGTCCTGATCAGTCCACTACTACTTGAGCCCTTACTCACAACTCCTCTCGATTGTGCTTCTAACCCACTTGCAGGCCCAATTGACTGGTGGTCCCCTCTTTTTTTATTTATTTTATTTTAAATTTTTTCTTTATTTATCTCAAAAATAAGACTATATAAATCATATAAATTTGTATAAAATCACATAATTAGCCAAAAGTTCACATTAATCAACTAAAAACTATTTTTCATAATTTAATACAAATATATTTATCATGAGTTAAGGCTAAAAACTATATTATTTATTAATTATTCACTCATGATAATAAAGACATCACTCCCTAATAAGAAGTGGCACTATTTTTGGATAGACAAAATGATCACCATTAATTCTCATTCATATATTAGTTTAAGCTGATTATGGGGCATCAACATCTTGCTAAAATAAACAATAGGGCATCAATGTTGCTTAAGAATATCTCCTAGCTTAATGTTGAGGCATCGGCATCTAATTCAAATAGAATAGAAAAAATAGGTAATGCCAAAATAAGAGTAGAAGAGAGAGCAAGTTTAAGCTGCTCAAAGGTTGAGGTAATAGCATCAGTCCATTGAAAGTCATCATGCTTGAGCTGCTGAGTAAGGAGCCAAGCCACCAACTCATCATTCTGTATGAAATCATGATAGTACCTTGTGAGCCCCAAGAACTTTTAAGTTTCTTGATCATCTTAGGTTGCGGCCACTATTGGGCAGCAGTGATTTTAGAAGAATCCATGGTGACACTTTGGTATAAAATAACATGGTCAAATATTCTATGGAAGGTACACCGAACTAGAACTATTTGCATGCATATGAAGATGATTAGCTTGTAGCACGAAAAAAACTTAATGTAAATGTTGGCAATGTGAAGGCATATCTCAACTATATATGAGGATATCGTAAAAAGGATGAACACAAACTAACATAAGTAATCACAAAAAATATGATTCATGAGTGATTGAAATGTTGACAGGACATTAGACAATCCAAATGGCATGATCAAAAACTCATAGTGGTCTTGAGAGGTTCTAAAAGTGATCATTGGAATATCTTTCTCTTGCATTCAAACTTGGTGATAACCAGATTTCAAATCTAACTTTTACAAAAAATATCATGCCATGCAATTCATTTAACAATTCATCCACAATGGGAATCAAAAAATGAATTAGAATCGTCACCTAATTCAATGTACAAGAATCCACATAAAAACACTAATTGCCACCTTTCTTCTTAATTAGAAGAATTGGGCTGGAGAACGAGCTAGTGGAGGGCTGAATAAATCCTTCTTTGTACATCTCCTTGATAGGCCTTTCAATTTTCATCTTCTGAATATGGGAATAATGATACTACCTTACAAACACCGAAGAAGAGCCCAGAAGTAGACTGATGGTGTGGTCAACTACTCATTGAGGTAGAAGCCCGTGGAGCCTCAAAGACTCGTGGAAATGAACAAGACAAGAATTGTACTAGATGTGAGAACTATAACGGGGGTGACTCTTGGTCATCCTAATTGAGAAAAAGGTTTGTCATCAGCTAGCAAAGTTTGATGAAAACCCCAAGATTGTGTTGGAGTTTTTGGGCCATGGATTCAAATAAAATTTCAAACTTTGATAGACTAGGGTCTCTCTTTAATTTGACTAGCATGTTGTCCACCTAGAATTTCATACT